ATTCCCGTGCATGCAATATGCACATCCAGCAATGTAAACAACTTGTGTGTTTGGAAAAAGTTTTTAACGATTTAGAGTACCTGTTACTCTACTATAGGAGAGCAAGAAGCCGTCCCGTGGGCGCCATGCACAACGTGCAGTAGCACTGCCAATGTGTGTAGAAAATTGGCAGATCCCACGTACAGTAGGAATCGATGATATGCGAAGCACGAATGAGAAATGTTGATATGCCACTTTAAAATCACCACAACGTTACGAGGTGGAGGTAAATTATGCCGTACATGACTTCCGTGTCATGCTTATCCTGTTTGAATGTTTCATTTACTTTCGTCCTCTATTCACGTCACGTGATGCCAAATTTAGTATATGTTGATCTAGCGAAACGGTTGCCAGCACTCTATGAGCGTGGTAACTGTCATGATTATCATGTTTGCACCAGTCATATGCCTTCGTAATGCATTGACGTCGCATAACACCGAATTTGTTATATGTGGGGCTAGCAAAACGGCCGCGAGTGCTTCATGAAGGGCCCAATATACTCCACCCCAAAGCAGGCAAGGCCGTGAATACGGAAAATCTGAGGCCCATATCACTGACTTCGTGCGCGGGCAAGCTTATGGAGACGATGGTACGGGATCGCCTCTCCCCATACCTTGAGGGCAAGGGCTTCTTTGCAGACACCATGTTTGGGTTTCGCCCACACATGTCTGCACAGGACGTCCTTCTCCTGCTCCATAGGGCCGTCATACAGCCCATAAGTATGCAACACAATGATAAAGCCATCCTCGCCCTTGATCTGAAGGGGGCTTTCGACAATGTTAAACACAGCAGCATCCTGGCTAACTTGAGCTCCACTGATTGCGGGGCTAAGGCATTTACATATGTCAGAGATTTTCTCTCTAAACGCCAGGCACTTCTTCGGATCGAGGACGAGGAATATGGCCCGTACATTATGGGAACACGGGGAACCCCACAGGGAGCAGTGTTATCACCACTTCTTTTCAACATTGCTATGATGCGCCTTTCAAGCGAATTGGCCAGGGTGGAAGGCACACAACACGCAGTATATGCCGACGATATTACAATCTGGACCACTGAAGGGAGCCTTGGTGAAATGCAGGAACGCCTTCAGCAGGCCGCATCCATAGTCGAGGCGTATGCCAACGATTGTGGACTCCAATGTGCTCCAAACAAATCAGAGCTTCTGCACGTTAGAACGAATCCAAGAGATAAGTCAGCCATACACATCTCCCTGTCTGGGGTTCCCATCAGAGAGGTGGAGGAGCTCCGAATTCTGGGCCTGTTCATTCACCACAGACTCAGACCGGACTTCACTATAGCGAAACTCAAGAGAATAGGCGAACAGGTAGGGCGCATGATCCACCGCGTTTCCAACAAGCGGGGTGGTCTGCGGGGCAGAGACGCGCTTCGGCTCGCACATGCCTTCGTGACTAGCCGAATCCTTTACGCCGTCCTATACCTTCGCACTAACAAGCAAGAAGACGAAAGAATAGATGCCATCATTCGTAAGGCTACTAAACGAGCTCTGGATCTCCCGGTGGCCACTTCCAACGCCAAACTGAGGGCGTTAGGTGTGCTCAACTCCTACCAGGAGTTGCGGGAGGCCCACCTTATGAATCAGTATACGCGGCTCGTGCAGACGGCTCCCGGGCGCCGCCTGCTAAACCGCTTACATATACAGCACACTTGCACTGCAGAGGAGGCGGAGCGTATTCCGGAACTGTGGCGGCATATGCTCTCGGTCGCTCCACTCCCCAGTAACATGGATAAGCACACGCACGAAAGCAGAAGACAGGCGCGGGCTCGGACGCTTGAGAAGCAACACGGCTCCCGACCTGGTGTATTCTACGTAGATATAGCAGGGCCTTCGCCCACGGGATTTTACACGGCCTCTGTAGTTCACCGGGAAAAGCATGTCAATGGGCTCTCGTTCCGAGCACAAAATCCAGAGCGCGCTGAGGAAGCCGCGATAGCGCTTGCTGCTGCGGACCCCAACTCGAAAGTTATCATCACGGACTCCAGGAAAGCATGTACTCATTACTTGGTAGGAGAGATATCCCCCCTAGCCAGCCAAATTCTAAAACGGGCTCTCGCTGATCCAGCCCCGAAACGCATCGTATGGGCTCCTGGCCATCAGGGCCTACGAGGTAATGAGGCCGCTGACGCGGCCGCCCGAGCGCTTACCCACCGGGCTCCTCACCTTGGCTCTTATGACTCGGAGGCCAATACACCGCTTCTGCGGTTCAAAGAAATTCTCACCTATTATCGTGACACTCACCGCCTTTACCCGGCTCCTGCAAAGGGGCTGAGTAAGGCGGAAGAGCGAACTCTAAGGCGCCTGTAGACAGGTACTCTACTCTGTCCTGCAATCCTAAAGCATTTCGATGCGAACACAGATGGGCGGTGCCCACACTGTGGGGAGACGTGTGATATCTTCCACATGGTATGGGCATGTCCGAAAAATCCCCACCTACCCCCTTCCCCTACCCCTTCCCGAGAGGCACGGGAGACTGCCCTCCTCGACAGCTCATCACTAGAGTCTCAACGGGCTCTGGTGAGACGGGCGCGAGTAGGGGCCTCGTCATGCGGTGTCCCGGACTAAGGACGCCGACCATGTAGCAGGGTCATGCTTTGGCCCCGTACCTCTCTCTTTTACAATAAATGTTTTTCATCATCATCATCCTCTGTAGTAGTAGAAGTTGTAGTAGACTAATAGTAAGTAGCCACCTCTAGTTTATGAGTTGCTCAATAGATGGCGTTGTGGGTATATGTCAATCCTAGGGAATAATAGCGTTAGCGGTTTTCACAGCATATCCACGGAGTGAATGATGATGAGTGGGGCGAAGCGTCGATCTGTTCGTTCGTGCTCCATTGGTTCGTTCATGCTTCCGCTTGTCCGTCCGGGCGGACAGATGCACAGACGTACGGACGCTTCGCCCCACTCACCATCATTCAGCCCGTAGATAGGCTGTTATTTTTTTATTTGAACATACAGGCCGTTCACGGTCCATGCAGGAATGGGAATAAGAAAATATACAAAAACAATGAAAACAAAATGCATACACTATATAACAAGTAAATAGATACGCTGTCAACAACTTATAATTCAAATCGGGCACACTATACTTAGTTCATGAATGACTGACTAGTGTTACAACACACAATATTATTGCCTAATCTGTCCCAGTGGGGAATAGCTCAGGGAAAAAAAAAATAAACCATGAGCATTAGCATAGCTAGGAGGTTGGTCGATTGTTTTAGAATGGTTAAGTCGCACCGAGTGTTAGGCGAGTCTCCCATGTAATGGGAACATGATACGCGGAAGGGACCATGATATAATCGATAAATTAGTTTTAGTCACGAGATAATTATGCGTTGCAAAGGAGGTTTTAAGTTTGCGCTTGCGAGCAAGCCTGCCGAACTAGATAGCCTCGAGAAATCTACGAACCTACCTTCCAATTGTTGTATTGGACCAGTTTTATTAGTTTATTATTTATTACTATTCTAGGTAAAATGAAAAATGCTTCTGGCAGTCTTTGAGTTAATGTGGCTTCACTTCCGCTTAGGATTCTTATTTTATCAAACCGCGGTTCAGTTTCTGCAAGTGCTGCCATAGGCGGGTATGTGCATGTTCTTCTCTGTCCTGTCCTCGGTAAGTGCAGCGCTACATTATATTAATTATGTATCACGAACTAGGCCCGCAACGTGTTTTGGTAAAACTGGCATTCCAGGCAAGCTTCCTCTGTCGCCGTCGCTTTCCGCACAAAGTCCAAGTGCGAAGGATGCTTTCTGAGCGCTGTATGCTCACACTTGAAAGGCAGTGACTTGAACTTTATTTGCAGAAAATTAGGAGAGATCACCTTTTCAGGGGCAGAAAAACGTAGGAAGCAACTTGGCGCTACGGCGATTATGTGCTGCGGTAATACATCAAAACCCTCCCCGCTTAAGGAAATAAGCTAAAGTTTAGACGCACGGCCGAGCCACGCGTTACGAAGGATAGACCCCGCCGGCGAAGGCGGTTCGTCGCCGGGTCAATTAGGCAGCGGCAAGGGCACGGGCGCGAATGCGCTGCTCATTCAGCTGCTATAATAATGTGACGCACCACAGATTCAAACTCGAAAGCCGCAGTGGCAGTGTTGTGGCGAAAGGAGCACGCGAAATAGAAGGACCTCATAAAGGAAGGCCGCGGCCATTCCCAGTTCGGATAAGAGCAGTGGCGCCACTCGACGTTGGCTCGAGGATTATTCAGACCGAAGGCAGCACGGCAAAGCGGGCTATTCGAAGCGAAGAGTGTACGCACCTGTTTAGACCACACGCCATCCATCGGCTGGCCGCGGAGACGGGCATCTCGCGCACCAAACATGCACCAAACATGCACCAAACGTGCACCACCGCGCCTCCGCCGCGTGGCGTTCTGATTGGCTGCCGCTAAGCGGCGAGCCTCAGCGGCCGGCGAAAAATTGCTCCGGGAGCGACCGCCTTCTTTTCCGCCCGCTTATGCCGCCTGGAGAGGAGGTTTTTTTCCCGCTTTCAGTTTTGCCGCTTTCGGCCGCCTCGCCTTCGGTGTGAATACGCACGCATATGGCGGCGCCGGCGACGTTACTTTCTGGTAGGCTTTACTGCTTGTACATACATAAGCAGGAAGTGCCATCGAACGGCGCAAAAAGATTTTCATGCATTGCACGTTCTCCCACGCAAAGATAGTTGGTCTTGAAGATTCTAAAAATGCGGTGGCCTGTTAAAATGCCAGCATTCAGACAGCAAGCGTTTGCGCTCGAGTGAGATCCGTTTTTCAGGGTGCACATGACCCCATGTTTACCAGTCGGAACACTATGCAAATTCGAATTTCAATGCACTTGGGCAATAACTCTAAAACTTACCGTAGATACTCGTTCAATACATCACTACTGGCAGCGATATCAACACTGATCTTTGAAGTGCAATCGCAGCTTTTGAATATAATGCTTTAAGACAATAAGAGAATCACAAATTTAACTTTTATTTTTAAATGTCTTGTAAATAATGTGCATTAGCTCATTTTTCTCACGCTGTTATTCACTTGACATGGACGCACCATGCTGTAACTATGGAACACCAAAAGGTGATTTGTACAAAAAATTGCAGTTTAAGTAACGCAACAATTTTTTTTAATTTCTTGTCACTACCAAATAACACTACACCGGATGGCACACAGCTTGACAAGATCTAGGAACCAGCTTGACTGCATCAGAGTTACTTGATGGACCGTCTTCCGAGAATCCCGTGCAGCCAAGCATTGCAGTTACCACACACCAAAACAATTGTATAAAAAAACAGTATATGCATGCACAAGCAAACACAACAACAACAAACAGTATTGCACAACTTGAATTCATCACGAGGATGCTTACAAAAACGAGTCTATCAAAAATGCAATTATACAAAATGCTACTGTGTATACTACCGCAAATACTTGTGTATTAAAAAGAAGAAATCTACGTGTGGCAAGGCACTTAATTTCACAGGGCCACATAGGTGAGATTCACTAAAATATATTTGATTAAATAATGTAACATTATTCCAGTGCTCCATGCAATGCCGAAGAACTCTATAAACATGCACATTGCGCCATCGAACAAGGTTTCTCAGTTCACACGCTATATTTGTGTGTGAATTCGTACGTACGCTGCGAGATGAGTTGGTGCGTGGTGCTTGGATTGAAAAAACAAGGCACAAACAATATCACGGGTGAGCCTGCAGAGGTGTGTGGACTGGACGTCTCGCAACCATGACCATCATCGCACTGGGGAACACAAGTTGGTATCACCTGACACCCCCTACACCTGTGCACGGACAATCTGTTTGAATGATTTCCTTCCTTTGTCTTCTCAAATGGAGTGAGCAGATGCTCAGATGTTGTCATAGCTCCTCGGTCCCCCGCCTCCTCCAGTCAAACCGTAGTTCACCGGGCCACCTTGGCAGGTGATGTACTTGACAAAAAACACACAGCCATCCTGCAGCCAAGATTGGAAAGAACATCAGAAAAGCCATGAGCTCAGCATTTCAAGTCTGCATCAGAAGAAACTGGTTAGTTTCTTTCGTACAAACTATTCCATCAAAACGTCATATGAACTCCATGATTTCCATACAAACTATTCCATCATCAAAAGAAACTGGTTAGTTTCTTTTGCCATAGTTTGAAGGTACAAGACATACTGGCGCTGCCATGAAGAGTTCCAGTAACTTTGCTACTGTTTATAGTTTTTTTTTTAGCATGCATGATATGCCAGTATATGTGCAAGGAGCACAGGCACAGAAAATATGTATTTTCTAGGGGGAAAGTTTGTATGTGCATGTGCTTCACTCCCCCATCTACCTGTTTATGCACCACATGCATACAGTGCTGTAAATTCTGAGGGTAGGGGGGTAGTAACTCTCATCTTAAACTACATTAACAAATAAATCCCATCCATTCCTCTAAAATAAAATTAATATATAGTAAAAAGGCTCAAGATACAGCTGTTTAGTATAAAATGTAAATACCTGAAGCTGTTTTTATGGTAAAAGGCAAGCCTTTTATACTGAAGCTTTTACCACAGTGTCAATGCATGACTACTCAAAGATTAGGATAACAGAAAATTTTAAATGTGTATGACTGACATACGGCACAAAGATTTCAGTCAGCAGTTTATTAATTGTGAAAAACATCAGAGACAGCTGGCACAATTTCGTTCGTGGGAATACCAGAGCTTTTTGTAAAAACAATAGGTCAGTCCTGACTTCGTTGGAATGGGCGGAAAAAGCGGAATGGGCTTTTCTTAGTGTGGAAGCTAATAACATTAGAATGAAAAGGGAAACTTCACAACATAGTCACTCTGCTACAGGAGAATCTTGCCAGCTATCATCCAATCAAAATTTGCCACTCTGCAGTAGTTGCAGCCATCCGATTGCAGTAGTAGCCTACAGGCCATGGAAAAACATCCAAGTAATTTAAACAAGGGAGTATTGGTCAGTGGTCAGCTGCCAGCTCGCAGTAAGGTGACATTATTAGGACCTCGCAAACTCAACAGAACACTTGCCAAGATATAGTATACTTAAATAGAAGTGTGAGACTCTTACAGTAATTTAGAATACACATTTGCGGTAAACGAAGCTTTCTGATGCTACATCTTAGTGAATGCTTACATTTAAAGTGCAAAGGGCTTAGCTTATTTTCGGTCTCTGCAGCTTCCCACAAAAAGAAAGACACTGTGATACCAGCTTTCATTCTTAAATTTTATTTTAAAAAAGCAATATAACATGATTACACATTGTAAATACTGCTACTCGCATTAATAGATGAAAGAAAATCTGGGAACAATTTAAAAGTTGAATTGAGGTACTAAGAACACCTTGAAAGACTCAAAACATTCCACATCTTTTCAAACAAAGAAAAAATGATGCTGGTACATTATGTGGGAAGGTGCAGCACACATAAACCTCAGTGGTAGTAAAGGCAACACGGGTATTAGTTAATTATCTAGCATAATGTAAACCTATAATGTTTCTCAATATGACCACGTAATGAATGTTTCGTATACAGAGCAAATACTTCCTTAACAGAGGAATTTCTCAGGAGGAAATGCTACCACAAAGTCTGTGCTATGACTGTGATATGATGTTATAAAGCACTTGGTTCGATATTGTACAGCTGCCACTCATGTGAGCTCATGAAAATGTTTTATACTGATGAAACATGCTAGCACCAAGGGCTAATTACTAGACAGTATAGCAATAGCCAGACAGTAATAGAAATCAGGTAAAGGTGATATGCATATATTAATACAATGCAATTGAGCTCTAGCATGTGGCCATAATATGCACTTAATTTCTGCCTACAATACTTATCTGAACACAAATGTGCTAACGCGACCCATTATGGTGAAACCTAAGCGAATGTAAATAGCCTAAACATGAACAAATCCTTTGAATGGGTTGGCTTTATACTTGGATAAGAAAAAAAAAAAACATTTATTATTTGAAATAGAAGAGTTTATGGCTCTATGAAAACCAAATTATAAAAAGAAGCTCTAAAAGACTTTTTCACCGAAGAGCGACAATATAAAACGACCCTCAAGGTATCTGTCCTCTATCCAGAAAGTTGTCTGTTACACAGTGACGAAGACTTTCCATGCACAATCAAACGTTAATTAGCCACTGAATGGTTGGTAAAAGCTGCTTTCTTAACATGTTGCCACGACCTGGAAGACGAAATTAGCAAGGCCAGTGGCCATGCTCCACATCACAAATCAAAACAGCCGATAAATTCACTTTTTATGTTGGGCGTACATAAAGGTGAAAGTTCATGTGACAGATGGCGCTGCACCAGGGCACACACTTCCGAGAAAATGTGTCTCTCAGTGATCAGGATACACTTTTCTGATACTCTAGCGTTCTATGAGATTGCGACCACAAAATATAACCAATGTGACCAAACATGACTGACAATAAGCTGTAGCGGCCGAACCTCATAGCTTCACTAACGCTGGATAACACACAAGAAGCGAAGTTTGCGAAGGAGTAGGTGGCTTTGAAAATATGCGCGACGACAAAAATGAAGATATCCAAGCTGCATGAGTAACTATAGTAAATGTCGCTGCTGATCAACACAGCTGCCTTTAAAAAAAAAAACTGTACAAGTGAAGGTTAGATGGATCGCAGTCTTTGCCATTGTAGCCCTTGCATAACTACACCGATAAATGCCCTACGGGAAATAGACTGATGGCAGTGTTAAAAAAATGCCAATAGCAAAACGAGTGCCATTAAGAAAGGACACTAGCACATTAGTAATCACCAAGCTTCGCTGCCGTTCATTTCGTTGCGCAAGGTAATCACCTTGGCCCGATATCTGAAGTGCACCTTGGGAGTAACTTGTGTTACTTGGTGAAAACTGCAGAAATGTCTTTCAAGCAAGCATACAGCTTGGTTTTCCCCACAAAGAGGCAACAGTCTGACACCTGGTATAGCTGTGTTATTAAATTACAGAGGAAATGCACTTTGCGTGCTACCAATCTGTCAATGCCACCCAGAAAATTCCCATGAATGCCATTACACTGTTTGGAAATTTACATGCATTATCACCACCAAGATGTACTATGTCCAGACTCAAGGGTTAAAAAAAAAACAGTCCTAAAACTTAGCTTGAAACAAAAGACACGAGAAAAAATACCAGAAAATTTACATAATAGTAGTTAGATTGGAGTGCCAGAGCCAGATATGACGTACGAACTACTGGCATTTTTCCTCCAGTTTCTGGGGACGATAGTCATTGTAATGCGGAGAGTGATTACTTGTTTCGTATGACAGTAACATGAATGTCTACAGATGTGATCAATTGCTGCATACATCAGTGAAGTGAGTCTGTCTTTGTACTACGGTGTTTTTTTTTTTTCCTTGAACAGATGGCTCCGGGAAAAATTGCGCTTCTTAAGTAGCTTATGGCACAAGTAAATAAAAGATTCGTACTAGTTCCACAAGTAGCAAAGTGACAAGAAAAGCATGAGACATTCACGCACGAAAACGAAGCGTCACCTGATGCACAAAGCTTGAGATAAGTTTCATACTAGACATGCATAGAACAAAAAAAATGCTAAACCACAGTGTAAAACAATACAGGCTACGCCTTTAGAGGGCCCGTATGAACACCCTCTGTGAACTTTCAAAGCATGCTTTCGGAGCCAATTGTGGCTGGTAAGTATTAAAAATATATATCTAAGATATTTAAAAAGCTACAGGTGGTGAGATCAATGCAAGAAGTGAGGTAAGTGAGTGTATATAAAATCTTGAGTGTCATCAGAAAACAATGATAAATATCGAGATTAAATCTGAACACTATTGCAGCTGGCTGAATAAACGCTAGCACCTATGCTGAGACCGAGAGCCTACCAACATTCTTTGGCAGGTATGTTCGGATAAAGAGCTTTGGCAGAATGAATATCACAAAGGACCCTGAGGTCAGTCTACAGACCATAAAATGAGCAGTCCAACAAGCATTCTTTGAATTAAAGGCAGACATTTGCGCAGTAAAGCTACGGTAGTCGGAGATCCTTCCTCTTTACGAGAATTCTGTGTAGCTACGTTGTGCCTAACGCTTTCAGTGTGCGATAAATGCAACCAGCAGTTGAACATGCCACGACATACGCTAGTACAGTGCAAATAAAGCAAGAATGAAGGAAGTCCGCACGCGTGTGTTTCCCCCGCTAAACTTGTGTGCTCATTCTGATTATGTAATGCCCATATTCCAAGGCAGCGTAACAAGCCAACATTACAATGTTTGTGAATAATCAGGTGTCTTTTGTGACCTGAAAAAAGGCCGTTCTCAGCCCAAGCATCTCAATCCAATGACTACTTCGTGGCAGCGATACATAGCTTGAAGAATAGCGCTGGGCTTAAACTCCCTGGTCAACGTAGTTACATGTATACTGGACTCAATGACCAGTGAAGTTTAGAAGAAGTGAAAATGCTTGTGGACTAGACGCAATGCATGTAAATGTTTGCTTGCGCATTGTCGGTGCTAAGCATGTACAGTAAGAACCCTTTGTAACAGACACCTATGTAGTAGGTATAAAAGACACCAGTGCACCTACAGTAAAATACAGGTTGATAAAACTTACACGTGTTACCCTGCTTACAAGAGACATTTCGTATAACAGATAAGAGTCATTCCCTGGTGAATGTCTCTAATTAAGGGGCTCAGCTGTACTATTGTGGCCCCTGTTAGCTTGGTCCCGAAAGGGTTGTGTGCCAGCGAGATATCAAATTTCCCCTAAAAATATGTTTGGGTCTCTGAGCATTCAGTCCTAGATTAGCGCGGAGTCCCTGACGGACTGCGGAAGGCAGGCCATGCAGATGGAGTCCTCAACGAGCGAGAAACACACCACGCAGAGTCCAGGCAGCTCGCTCCAGAACTGGTGGTGGGGCACCATCTCCCAGCCACGGGCCCCGTTGTTGTGGTTGATCAGGATACCGCCGACCAGGTACACCAGGAGAGCGATGAAGAACCTGCGGTATACACAGCGACATCACTTGACGGAGCAAAGCAACTGCATCATGTGTAAGGTTTGTCAGCAGGGCTAGTTTGTTTTACGTTCATTTTGATGAAACATAAAACGAGTGAATACAACTGCACAATATGAAGTGCTCACCGCTTTGTTGACTTACAACTGGGGCAGAGGTCAAAATGAAGGAGCTTGCGAATGTTTTCATCTAAAGGTGTCGGCTACAACACCTACCTTTCAGAAACTTATTTTAACGACTGATAACTGCAATTTTTAGTGTCGACAGTTGACAAACATGGGCATAAGCAGGGGACTGCAAAAGGGGCACTCGCTCCCCACCCCCCTGAGCTACACCAGTGCTCCAGCCGTCTCCTAAATGTAGTGCAACACAGGTCTATGCCTATGTTGACAACTGCCCTTTTCTTTAGTGAAATACTTAAGGAAATTTTATGAACGATTGGTAGTGTGAAGCAGCAAGATAATGGCAACGGTTCCTCAGAGTTTGTTTCATAATTTATGGGAACAGGTTGTGGGCAAATCTGAATGTATTTGTGTCAAAAACAGCCATATGATGAGCAAAGGAGCATTGAAATAGTAAGCAATAAAGACCGTGAACAAAATACCTCACGAGATGATTATACTCGCAATGCGACACCAGCTCAAGGCTTTATACAGTATTAAACCCTCACAAACAAGAATACCTTGCTTGCTGAAGTAAATAACTTACTATTAACTAGTTAATGCATTTCAATACACTAAAAGTAATGCCTGTCTTGAATGATCACAAAAAGCTGATATCTCAAGAACACATGGGCTTTTTGAAACCGGTGTGACCAAAGTACAGCTGCCAGCTTGTAATAAGATTTCCCTGCTATATAGTGCCATTAAGCAAAAGTGATTCTTCCACACTCACCATAATGGCTATTGGCAATGTGAATTGACACTATAACGCTTAAATCCACATACTAATCAAGTGGATGGAGGAATTACCGCCGTCGTAGATCAGTTGGTAGAGCATAGGATGCATTATGCAAAGGTCATAGGTTCGGTTCTTGCCGGTGACAAGTTATCTTTATGTCGCCTTCTCTTTCTTAACATGTACATTACAATTGCTAAACATCCCTTACACTTTCTCTGGAATGTTTGTCCATTTGTTCTCATAAATAATTTATCCCAAAATGACAAATACATAGATTAACGTGACTTACAGGATTAGTAAAACGGATCCAGCACTGAGACCATCAGTGGGCGCCTCTGGGGTACAGGCACCCGAAAATGGGACTGTGAGGTTGCGCTGCAAGAGTTTTGAGCAAAAAGAAGAAAAAAAAAATGAAACAGGAGAATATGGCTAGGCAGAAAAAGTGACTTAGCCTCTCTGTGGTGATGCTCGCAGTTTGCTAAAACTGTCCTAGCAGCCAATCTACAGACACCCGAAATATTGGCTCTAAGTGCAGCCAATCTACAGACACCTGAAATATTGGCTCTGATGCGAATCACTTTCAGCTAGCATAAGAGGTTTATGCTAGCTGAAACGTGAGAGGTTTATGAAGCCTTCAACATGCATAGCGTTGCGTCACCATGTGTCAACTCAACACCAATAGCGTTTACCGACAAAGATGTTGACTATCTGTACCATTGAGCTGTTCATGTTCTGAATAAAAAGAGTTGCATACATATTTCCAAGAGCCTCGTTCCCCTCCTCTTTCGCAAAAGCATATATCTGTGTGTTTTTACAAATAAACACAATGTTGATAGTCAGCGTTCGGTCCCTGACTATCCTTTTTCGGTCTCCATTTTTTCGTATTGTTTTAGAGTCAAAATAGACAATTAGCATGCCTATGCCACAGAATGCATGCATACTGTATTTTGCGTATATAACCTGTACCAGAAACACGGAAATTTTGGTGGCAAAGTGGTGGTGCGAATAATACGTGAGGTTTTTCTTGTAGTGATGCTTCACAGTAATTCATGTTGTGCCGTGAAGCCCTTGACAGTGTAGTGAAGGAAACGGAGGCAGTTTCTGCAAATTCGTGTTGCTCCACAAGTAGTACGGCACCTGGCGGACGATTGGCTTGCTTGCATCGTTGAAGCATTTAGAAAAACATTTGGGGAGAAACAATTCGATTGTTCAGCGTAAACCTCCCTGCCACATTACGAGTATATTTTTTGGGATGTTTGCAGCTGCACAGCGACCCTCCACCACCCTCCTCATGCCCCTACATCGCGGACGACATGTTTACTTTGGAAAAGGGCTTGCCGAAAAGGTGGCGCTGTCTAAAAAGTAGGAAGAAAGGGACAGTATTTCTGCAAAGTGAAGAATACTTGTATATCAACTACGACTTTCCATAATCGTTTTGGTTCCACGATAAATAAAGCAGTATTTATTTAAGCAAAACAAATTAGATATCGGCAAATTTGAGTACTACTTTTTGGCACGGTAGCAGGCATGCATTTCAGTTCTGTTACTTTCACAGAGCTGTCAAGCACAAGTTGTCGTCGAGTGCAAGCTCTCTTTATGTCACTGGTACTACTTCACAGCGAGGTAAACTACATCTCGACCTGTTTGCGAAGCTTAAGTCGATCTGTTCTGTCACCACGAGTAGCGTCCGGCGGCAGTCCTTAACCACCCAGCAAATGCTTAAGATCATCGCCGTCGCCAAGGAATTAGGAAATGGCAAAGCGGGACAGACTGCACGATGTGCAGGAGTCTTGTGCGCAACTGTGGAGAAAGACGAAAGACAGCCTACAAGTGACGCACCGCACCTGTAGATCATTTTATGGCCCCAAGACTGGCACCTACCCTGAGTTGGAAGTGCGACTAGTGAAGTTCATCGAAGATGTGCAAAGCTAGAGTCACGCCGTATCTAGCATGATGGCCGAAGTTGCAAGTTGAAGCACGGCAACTGTCGATGGAGCTAGGCCTACCTCACGGCTTCTGTGCAAGCCGCAGATGGCTGCACCTCTTTGTGGAGCGCCAAGAGCTCTCAATTAGACAGCAGCCTACAATATGTCAACGCTTGCCAGTTTCTTACGAGGAGAAGCTGCTCGAGTACTAGAAATGTTTCATTGGCTTGAGAAAGCAGCATGATTACATTTTCTCGCAAATTGGCAATGCGGATGAAGCTCCTGTTTATTTTCAAATGCCGTTCGACACAATGATTTAGAAGATTGGCAGCAGTTTGGTGAGCTTGCTGACCAGTGGGATCACGCAACTGCACTGCACAGTTTTGCTTTGCCGAGGGCACGAAACTGCGACCCGAGCGTCATCCTGAAAAGGAAATCTTTCCGAAAGATTCCTTTGCCTGCCAGTGTGATGGTGCGTGCAAAAGAGAACGTGTGGGTGAACAGTGCCTTGTTCGTAACCTGGGTCAAGACGATATGGGAGAAAAGGCCCGGTGCGATGCTCACACGAAAGTCCAAGCTCGTTCTTGACTCGTTACGCGGCCACACAACTAAGGAAGTGAAGGACCGCCTTTCGCTCAATGGCACCGACTTAGTCAGTTATACACCTGGTGAAATGATGCCAATGTTGCAGGCCTCTAGATGTGTTAACAAGCCCTTCAAAGCACATGTCAAGTGCTATAATGCCAATTGGATGGCCGAAGGCCTCTATGAATTGATGCCGGCAGGACGCGTTCAAAGGCCTGATATTGCCCTATTCTGCAAGTGGATTGTCAAAACAAAGAAGGCCATTCCAGGTGAGATGGTGCGTAAAAGTTTTTAAAAATTCTGCCTCACAAACGACATGGATGAAACCAAAGATGACCTTGTTCCTAACAGGGAGGACTGCAGCTCAAGTACAGCCCTAGTGAGAGCAATGACAATGAGGGAATTGTGACTGGCCTTGCAGACAGCGTATTCTGCTTGAGCAGTATAGCCTTTGTACAAAATTTTCCTTATATCAAATGTGCGGGCAATACGCAAAGACTTTTTTCTTTCTCAGCGAGCTGAAAGTGGGGGTGCAGATTATATGCAGGGGCGGGTTATATGCGTGAAAATACGGTATTCCAGTTGAGCAGTCTAGCTTCCAGCAGTGTAGCTTAATTCTCAGTTCTGCTGTCAACGCTTCTACAGGCATGAAATGCAAGAAATTCTCTCTCTACTACTGAACTACAATTTACATGTTTGCCTGAAAAAACGGCTACTAAACAGAACAGCCCTCTTTGCTTTTTATGAAACTGCTGTACACTTCTGCAAACATGCTGACTATCCAATCTTCAACACAAATCAATAAATTATAATTACAAGCAAAAATGACTGTTGTCAACATACAATTGTCACTAGCAAAGTACAGGCTCAAGGATTACCATCACATTCCTATGCCTCTCTAGACAACTAAATGACTGGTGCAGCATCAATACACATTATTGTGACAGCTTGAGAAAGCATAGGCCGCAATGCTTTAACCTTATAATACTCAGAAAAGCACATGAACGTAAATGACAACCAGTATACTCAGCAAACAGAGCAATGACCTACCTCGCAGTCTGTAGAAATGATGAGTGGAGTGTAATTAATCTTTGTTAGCTCGGCTCCTGGCCCGACGACAATGTTCCTTTCCACGTCGCAACGAAATATCATATTGACCGTGATTTTCTTATCCTTGCATTTGGTTATGTTGACCAGGCTGCCTTGGACGGGCTCTTCAAACCTTACTGCGAAGCTTGAGCGGTCTGGAACATCAGTAGACAAGAGTGAGAGTGAGTTTGAAGGTTTTGTTGCATGAAAGTGTACCGGCTATCAACTCGATAAGAATGGCCAATGTACAAATCATGCGAGACGGGCTTTAGCTGTGACACAAAAGAGGAAGAACACTGGCTACTATATTTGCAGGACACTGGGAAAACCAGCAAAGTGATAAACTTAAAAAGATTAATGTTGCACAACGATACTGTGTCCTTAAAAAAAAAACATTTGTCACTTTTTGCTGAAGACATGGTTATACTATATTCCAATGATTGCAAAATGACTTCATCATGACTTTAATTATAACATATTAAAAACATTGGGTGAATTTTCTTGCGATGTCATTTAGGTTTGGCTGAATAAACCTTATACTTGATCATCGATTAACAGAACTGAGTGACACTACATTGGGCTGTTTCGTGAAGGATGATCAGAATGTACATTTGAAAATGTGTCGCAATATGGGTATGCCTCTAGCTGATCTAGAAATATTTTGATTTTGCCGGCTCAACTCGTGATGTACAAGACTCAATTTTCACCAATAGTGGCTCTTCACACAGAAAATGTAAATAAATATCTATGTGTTTAGTTGATCCTGTTTAAACCTCTCAAAGTATTTTAGATAGCCTGGTCTGGTAGCAGAACTTGTGGTAATGCTGCCACCTTCCTACACACCTGTACATTGCACTGACGTGGCCAGCGGCAGCAGTCGCAGCTAGACTTCAAGGAGAGTGTAAGCTGTCTATTCACGAGTGCCCTTTATTAGTGCATGGCACTGTAACACATGTAAGCTTCTGTGGCTGCATACTGTTGTGGTTCGCGCTTACGCATATGGCATATTAGTTCTGCTGCTCCATCACTTCTGCGAGTGCTACACAGCACAGCCTCCGGCATGCACAGAGGTAGAACATGAAGCAAGGCACTGAGGGTACAAACAAACGAAATAGTGGAAGAAAAAGTAGTCACTCTAAGGGAATAAAGACAATTCCACAAAACTTTAATGAAATATGAGAACATCCAAACACTCACCCGGCTTGAACTGTGACGCATGTGAACAAGAAGTGAGAGGGCTTTTCAGTGACTACACTGATTCAGTATTTAAAGCACAAGAAAATACCTAAATCAAGTCCACGCTCTTGTTTGAAGAGTTTTTATAAGTAAGAGTACATTCATAAATTCCTGTCAAAGTTTCATCTTGCTACAAAGAACCCCGCAATGGAGGGAGCCAGAGTGACTTCCAACAGTTTGTACTTCTCAGTGCATCTTTTGGCACACACTTCGTTCTTGAACTTAACACAAGCTAATTTCACCATATAGTAGCTCAGAACTATCGCCCAACTTGGCCAAGAGCCCTCTGCTACGTTACCCATCATATGTCGGTGCTGTGGCTTTGGCGGCCAAAACTAAACAGACTCTATGATCTACAAGGTAATTCCACAAGTTTTTGGCTTGACCATCGTTTAATGGGGACAGAAATAAGTCAACTCGGCCACTTTTCATTATATTCTTTTCATTTTTCACACCCCCGAATTAACATGTTATGCCCTCTAAAAGTAGTATCCGAGAATGAACGAAAGAAGGGGAATCTTAGAGGCTCTTATTTCTTTGTGAAACCCAACCTAACTAGAACTAACAGACACGAAACCCAAGGAACGTATGGGGAGTGTTTTTTGTAGTAATTGTGACGTAAATGTGAAGAAAGTAAGGGGGACAAAAAGATGACTAGCCGCTAGCAGGAACCGAACCTGTTGAAACTCTCATGAAGGAATTCTAATAGGTGTCGATGTGTGCCTGAGGTGGCTATTTTGAACTCTCTGAGCTTTAAAGTCGGCCTGGGAACTTATAGAATTACCCAAAGTACGCTAAGGAGCTCGCTAACTGAGAACTGCAAGCCACATACACAGTGACCACGAAGTCACGTCATGCAAGTTCCCAAATGTTAAGTAATTAAACCAATACATAATAATGCAGGGACTAAGCCAGTTTTGAGAAAAGTGTGTGTGCCATAAAAATGTGACCATCTTTTGTCACATACTGAGCCCACTGGGAAAGTGTTATGTACAATGCTATTCAGTAGAAGGTGAAATGTAGCAACACAGCCTTGGTTTATCAGAATAAAAGTGTACATGAAATGCTACAAGGTATCTTGCATGGAGGACTCAGTTCACCTACAAAATTAAAAAGATTTAGCACATGTGAAGTAAAAGCTTTAATAGATCATCATAGGCTAGATGTCACAGTAGAGGAGGAGTAGTGCTTCCTTTGCAAAGTTGCAGCAAGGCTTCATTCAATGTTTACCTTTATTAAACATAGCAGTGCTATCCTTAGCTAACATTGTTTTGTTTAAACACACAAAATCTTACCCAGAGGAAGTATTTTCTGGAAGGTTCCTATGGAGAGTGGATCCAAACCACTGGTATTGACTTCGCATGCGTGCCCGATGCCACAGGGGATTCACGGGCACCTCATTGCAGAATTGAAAGTACCAGGAACAATCGGTGCTTGTCGGCCTTAAGCAGTGCCCCTTTATTTCTGCTCTCCACACAGATCTATTAACCGGCAAAAGAAAAGACAACGTCCATGTCAATGGCACTGTGTTCGATAACTCAAAACAGCATAAAGTTGCACTAGCAACTGTGATGAAAATCAGAACACGTTAGGAATAGCGGCATTCTCCAGCTATCATAGCTGCACAAACATCCATAAAATGGCAGCACTGCAACACATTTGGCTAATATATACAATCATTTAGGCGTGTTACAAGCTGAAACTTTGAAGTCAAATCGCCACGTTCATTAGTGAGAAATTGCTTACAACGGTGGTGGCTCGAAATATGGTGGCCTAGAGTCCATATGAATACACACTTATATATATCAATTTCATTTTCATCCTTTAATTAGGTCACACAATGACTAATGGACCAACATTGTCGTGCTGTAAACCCTGAGAGGTTTACAGCAGGACCTTTCTAGCCACTATACCTCAGAAGTCACTCAAAGCATTATCATAAAAAGAAAAAAATTAAGTGTGCTACAAAAGGTTGGAGGATCATACTGCGTGCAGCCACAAATATAGCAATCACAATTCACCTACCAGACATTCTATTACATAAGTTGCAATTAGGTCTTGCAATTCTGAATATTAAAAGATACCAAGTGGATAGACTGAACTGTCAGTTATTAATTCTGCAAAATAGTATTTGGTTTATTATGTATATACTTCGTTAACAAGTGTGAGTGTTACTTGCTACTTTTATTTTTTCTTATTGTACAACCATTCCCTCACTAAGAGTGGATGAAACTTAGCTTTCTGTGTTATCTACAGTTGTTCTACTTCATGTTGCTGCATCTACCCAAAACAAGTGAGATAGATATACAGATAGAACTAACGAACTACTCACATGAAAAAGAACACATGACAACCAACCTGCTCGTATCCCCTTTATGACACTGATATGTATTATCTTGCCCACAGATGTTTGCCAATACTGAAACTATAGTACTGAAGAAATAAGGACAAAAATATGAAGATTAAAAGTGCCAACTTATGTGCACTGTGATGACTGCAGACGTGAACCAATGTTCAGAGATTGTTCCATCACATAAAGAGACGCAGATAAGCATATACGATAAACTGTAGAGGCAAGCTTTATTTCAGAAGCCAGTGCTACATTACATTAGCAGCCCACTAACGAGTTCACTGTGGCGGGAGTCATCGATGGGTCACCACCTGTGCTTCGCTTATGCGGCCGTGATAGTACGAGCATGCATCTGCTTGCTGATGCGATAACTTAAACATGAACCCAGAGGTACGATTCTTGCTGCAACAGGTTATAAATAATCAGAAGAAATTTTTGCTGGTGTAAGATGCCACAGCCCACCGGTGGGTCATGGCGCACACGGACGAAATGCTGCCTACCCACCGGTGGGCTACTCTGCGCGTAGAACGAGACCTCAAGAATGCTTGCCATAGCAAAAGAGTTAGGTTCGCCGAGCGAAAATGAAATTTGCTGTCTTGACACTGTTGGTTGCAAATAGCGACAACCTTTTGTGTGTGTGTGTGCTATGTCTGTAAATACGGTTCCTTCTGAAAATAAAATGTGCCTGTAGAAATTTGGCATAAGTCTTCATCAGTCCTGTTTTTGTACGTCCAGTGTTGTTGTCTCAAAAGTCACTCCTAACCAATGAGCACACCAGTCTGCACACTTGCAGTGGTCAGTGTACATGTACTGAGTTTTTGATTAAGTTCACCTCTAGCTATGTTGGGCGGTCTAGTCAAAGCTGGAAGAGAACTTACTTGAAAAAAAAAAAAATAGAAGTGAGTAATGTAGTAGGGCCACAGATATACCGCTGGCTAAGAACCACTTATAATATTTTTGAATTAACTATCAATCAATCACAGAACCTTTTTCCAAATTTTTATGATTCAGTGGATTTACTCTCGGGGTTTATCAATTTTCGGCATTCTCTATGAAAATAAAAGCAAGATATACAATTTAATTAAAAAAAACAAGAAATGATGAAATGCATGCAAGTATATGCCATGGTAAAAGGCACTATGTTCATGCTGTCAAAAACATGAAAAAAAACTTCCTTTTCCAACAGTAAGTGGCGATTTCTGTTGATCTTCAGAGCAAGAAATTGACAATGACGTTATTCTGGCATGGGACAACATTGGTTCCTGCTTGCTGGTCAGATTATACAAGCTTTATATGGTAGAGTGACGGCACTGGGAATATGTTGGTCCGGGGTTCGATATAACGAAGTAATGCTAAACTCTGTACAGTGAACATTCCTTTGAGAAATTCTTGTGCGTTGACATTGGAGCTTTAAAATTGAGCTGATAGTCATGTAGACGAGATTTTCCTCTGGAACGTTTCCTAAGCTAATTCACCATTTCAGCTGCCCACATAAGTCTGTGGGGTAGCAGGTTTTATCATCGTCGTCGTCATTATTATTATTATTATTATTATTATTATTATTATTATTATTATTATTATTTTGAACACACAAGGGCACAGGAAAGAAGGAGAAAACAGACTCACAAGTGCCATCTAGAAAGACACCGCCTGCCTACTTTTCCGGGAAGAAGGAATAGATAGAGGAAAGGACGAGGAGGAGAGAGGAGTAAAGTAAAGCAAAAAATTACTAAGACTTGAAACATTTTTTATCTTTCGTCAAAATAAAGAGAAGCTAGCCTGAGACCCCTGCCTTCAGTGGAAGCGGTCCGCTGACACGAAGATAAAACAGATAATCAGATTATGACTTTCCAAAGAATCGTCGTTTCAGGGCCCCGGCGGTCTCACAGTTAGGAGCAAAATGGGATTAACTCGAAGAGATTGTACCACCTGTCAATGTCTCGACACACCTTATATCTTATCTCTTCATTTGTCAGACAGAACACACATGAGTCGTAAACAGCCTGACACATCGCGGTCACGATGCGATGAATGGAGGCCGACGATACTGTATACGTTCAACGCAATTGTACAAAAACTATGAAATAAAGCGCGTTTGACACATTTCATGATTCAAAAGAAACACGCGGTGTTGCTCAATTGTCAAAATATTTCGACAAGGCCCGCAGTCAAATGCAACGCAAGGTTGAATGCAAAGCCGGCACACGTCTAACAAACCCGCCCACCAGACAAAACAGCTTGCAGGCGAAATTTTTATCTACGCTGACGCCACTACCCGCTCTTCAAACAAGCGGAAACAACATACGCGGACACTTCGAGCGGGCGTTGCATTGTCGAGAACGAGAAGACAATTGTGTGTCCAGCTGTACGACGAGACGAAACAAATCACATAATTCAGATAAGTTGTATCACTTACTTGAACAAACTTTCGTAGTTGTAGTAGCCGTCGATCAAGCATTTCTCGTCGGCGGCAGTAAATTCGAGGCCCAAGGTCAATGCGAATATAGCGCTGCCCAAAAAAGGCATCAAAGCAAACATTTCGAAAAACTACAAGCCCAAAATTTTCAAGAAGTCGTGCAAGGTCCTTTTGAACCGAAAATGCAACAGCCACATTAAAACAGATTGGCCTGGCTTGGATTGAGATCGTCTTCGACGCGGCGTTTTGCTGTTGTTGGCCAGATTGTTTCCTTCCACTCAGCTGCTATGTAAACCAACACTTCTAAAAGCTTTCATGTGAAGAAAACACACTTTTTTATATAAAACGTGAAATTGAATTGTCTTACAAATAGCACTTAAAATTATGTACCTAAATTAAGTTTAACAATGCAACTTATTTTAGTTTTGAAGAAGAAAGACGCAGGTGCTTGGGTGGGCCGGTGCATAATGTACCAATGATGAACGCTGCTTATCCCGCTTCCATCGCCCTTATCGCCTAGTATTCTGCCGAAATGTAATTTTTGGGCCCTTCAAATAAATCTCGTAAACTCCCGACTTCACTGCACCATTCATTACGCTGTGCAGTCAACGAAATAGAGCGGCGATGGTTGCTGTGCAATGGAAATGAAAATCGAACAATAAAAAGAACACGTTCACCGCACGAACACGCCATGCTACTTCTCGCGCAATGCGGACAACACTAAAAAGGACAGGGCATCAAGAGAAACAGGAGCTCCTCTGTCCTTTTTCACGTTTCCACCATTGAATCAAAGTAACATGTTCAGCAAACTGGTGGTAGTGGTTAGAGCACGAAGGAGGCGCCTAATTTCTGCTGCCCGGTAGGGAGCACGGCGCAGCGCCAGATTCAGCACACTTGAGCACCAACTCACCCGAACATTTTTTTAATGAAGAAAGTGTGACAATCTGCTATTGCCACTAAATGGGCCGACGTCGTGTTCGAATTTTGATACATGGAGCCTATGATTTCGCAACTCATATATGGTTACAAAAACAGCAGCCTTTTTTTTTTTCTGGAACTTAAGTCACTATATGGTGCCTAGAATATACTGGAATTCTATTGCAGGTACCATACTGGAACTCGCGCGAGCATCAGCGAAAAGCGCCTGTTCGTACACCAAGACGGAACAAAAAAAAAAGGGGGGGGGGGGGAGACTGGTAGATTTTATTCACGGCCACTAACCCACGACTGCTACTATCAGTGCAGCGACCACATCCATAGCTGGTCTTCCAGAGAAAGGGCTGCCACCAGAGTGTACATACAGGTCACAGATGCCATCAAAGGTGGTGCGGCGTTCTAAAGTGGCTCGTGTTTACTTAAAAAAAGCATTCAATGCGGCTGCTCCCGACGCTGTCACTGCGTCAGCGACAAGCTTTTTTACCGCAGCTTCAAGAGTGTGGTACCAATTAGTCTCTTTAAATTTCTGCATAATATTTGTCATCGCGGTACTCATCATCGCACTCACAGAGCCAATCAGAGAATTTGAGTACCCAGCGAAGTTCAATCCGGTCAAAACGCTGTGGGCCACATCCATGACGTTGCTAATGATCGAGTCCTCAAGAGTAATTTTCTTCAGTTCCTCAAATAGAATATCTAAAAAAGTGTCTTTCACCTCATCGGCGTTCTTTGTTCCAGTCTCACTGTTACGATTGGAAGTTGTTCCGCGACCGCAGGATGTACAGCGTTGCGTGGAAACGCTGGAGGCCGGTTGCACTGGTACGTCTGCAGGCATGGCGGGAGACGTACCGCGTTGAAAGGGTCCGTTTCTTCGGGAGATGCCCCCAACATTACCGTTCGTCTTCGGGCGCGTGCTCTCGCCTTGCGTCAGTCCAGTTGGGGGTCCGTGGTCGCTTCCTTCAAAACCGTCGCCGCTGCTAGCAGACGGAGAATTTCTAGTTAAAACACATCCAATGTTTACGACAACGTTTCCGTTAATCAAGCAGCGCGGTATTTGGGCCATTCTTCTCGTTTCCAACGCCAGCTGGAAGGGCCCCTCGCGCTCGCTTGCCTAGCGCGTGATGGGTCGGCTCGCGGTACCTCGCGTTCGATCCCTCGTGATTGGTTGGTTGTTGGAAACAAGGAGGATTCAAGAAAAATTGCTGGAGTGGAAGCTCCTGCGATGGCTTGCCAGCAGAAGTGAAGCCGCCTATTGCCACTGCCAAGATGGTGGAAACATGCTGTTTTCTGATAGTGCCCACTTAAAAATTACGTGGCTTTGATACGTTATGTAAATGCTACGATAGTTCTATATTAAAGGATAGTTGTTCCCGACGAAATAACACACAGAAACAAGTATGGATGGCTGAATCTTCAAAGAAGTTCGCCTCCAATTAGAGGCTCACTACGGAAAACTAGTAACTTTAAGACGCACCTGGAGCACTATGTGGCCCGAAAAGGTACCCACATTAAACTCGTTGGGCGTGCGAGGAAAACGCTTCGCTTTTAATCGCTGAACGGCGATATTTTATCATGCCCCTAGTAAGATGGCCGCCACAGCCGCCATCTTGCCAGAGGAACGGCTTCACTTCTGCGCAATCATTTCCACTCCAGCAATTTTTTTTAAATCCTCCTTGGTTGGAAATCATATAGCCATCATCATCAGCTCATTGACTGTGCCCACCACGGAGGTGCCCACAGTAGGGCAAAGACCTCCTCCTTGTTCTGTCAACCAACCCGGCTCTGTGCCTTCTGCTGGACGTACGTACGAACGCTTGGCGTTGTGGAGTTAAGGTTTTCCGAGTGACGTGAACGAGGCGGCGAGGCTATAAGAGTTACGGTCGTGCGCGTCAGCCCGCGCCCTAACTAGTTCATCACGTTGAAACCAAGTATAAAAACCCAGGTTGCGGTATAAGTGCTGTGTTCGTCACACGTGGGTCCGATAAATTGTAAGCGAGGAAAAAAGAGGTCTGGTGATAATGTGGGCAGGTTACGTCTTCTGAGTGTCCCATGCTGGAGGCATATAATAGAGCACCCAAAACATAGATGTAGGATGCTCGCGGTTCCAGCTCAATAACAATA